ATCTTTAAAGACTTGATTCAAGTTAAATTCAATATTAATAATTAGACGATTTTAGAAATTGAATATTAATTGAATAATTTTACCAAATCATTTTTATATAAAAGCAATTAAATTAATTTAATTTATTAATCATGTTCTACGGAATGTTCAACAATATGAATTTATATTTATCGAGCAAGATTGACTCTTTAAAAAATTTAACGAGATAAATTCAATATCAATGAATGATGATTTCTCAGAGATTAAATATATTAATTTATTTTAATATAGATTAATTAAAAATCGATATAATTTTTGTTTAACAAAATAGAGTTGGATGCTATAATTTTTTAATTGAAGTTTTACTTTCAATTTTAAATATTTTTCTTATTCTTCAATATAAAAACATTTTTAAAATAGTTAATGCGCAATTTCTTCATCTCTAGATAACTTTATCCAAGAGATATCTCCCAGAATACAATGGAGATATCTCCCGGATAAGATTATCCGCAGCTTATCTGAAAGTGAAGAAATTGGGAATTAAGCTTTATTTTCAATTTAAAAAATTTCTCTTCTCCTTTTTGATATAAAAAAACATCAGGAAATCAGTAAAGCAATCGGTTAAGATTTCAGATATTCAATCTCATAACTTGTATTTCATTCCTTCTTCTTCTTCATCCCGTACTTCGCAACAACTTTAACAATAGCACACAATTGATGCGATTATTATCTAGAGTTAGTGTAAAAAAAAAGAGAGAAAACGATGACACGTGGATTTTATATATTTTTGTTTTGCATTCGTTACGGCATCCTGTTACAAACACTCTTCACGCTGCAGTATTTCAGTACAGAAGTAATAAAAAAGTTATAGTGTATACATATATATATATATATATCTCTATTTATATATATATAATATTTATATATAAAATAGGTAAAGTAAAACGTAATATACAGGTTATTGCTCGTCTCTCATGGGATTCTTCGCTCGCAATTCATGCATCCTTTATACACGATGTTTCAGATAAATTGATTTGGACTCACGAGCATATTTATAACAAAATTATTTTCCGCGCTCGTCTCAGAGAATTTCTTATATGTGATTCTCTTATCTCTCCTTCTCTCCATTAATGACTAAATCGTGAGAATTTAACTTACACCATTGCAAAATTACAATATTTTAACGCAAGCGCTTTCAATTAGATGAAGCAATTTCGTATTATAACCTACGGTATTAATAATTAATTAAAACAAGAGAGACTCCAATACATCTAAAGCATACACGTAAAACTGTGGGCGCAAAATATCCATTATAAATAAGCGAGTAGCGTGAATAAAATAAAAGAACTTTTCACATTATCTTACATTATCTCTGTTTGCGTAGAGAGTGACTTAAGTACTTTTTTTTCGAAAAATTTGGAATTTATCGTTAATGAATTAATAGAGAGATAAATGTGAATTAAATGATAATTATTATCAATAATTTTAGATGATGATAAAATTATATTATTATTTAAATAAAAAAGATAATATAATAATAATATTATATAATAATTATTATTTGACACTATCTCCCTTTTTTTCATTTAAAAAGATTAATTTTTTTAACTCGACAATATCTCATGTTGCAAATACTTCGTTTTTTTTTATCCACACTACTATACGTGTCTATTCGTACAGTGAGCTAAATTACGTTGAAGCTTTTACTAAAACAATAACAATTGTCTTCCAACTTGGAAGTTCTCAATATTGCACGTTCTAAGATATATGACGTCGCAACAAACGTCCTGTCCTGCAAGATTCATATGATTTACAAATTCATCAAGATTGCGTCGCAACTACGGATCATTCGCAATATAACGATCGCCGTTTACAGCATTCTAAACATCGTATGTGATTTATATTACATCATACGATTCTTGTGCTATATTTATCCGTGTTTATTATCTCGAGTTTTCGTCGCGCTATATTTATGCTGATCCATAAGTTGCAATATTTCATAACAATAAACCATACACGTCACTTTTCATCTTCGAAAATCGGATTAATCGCTTTCGTAAAAGATCCCGTTGATTTGAATATCGCTTACGATATTTACGACCGTCTTCGTAAAGACTCGCTTTCGATCCGAAGATAAATTGAACTTTGTTAGTAGGTTTGCCGGAAATTACCGTTACATTCTTAATATATCGTGACACAACCATTAAACAGTTTCCATCATACGTAATTAAATAATTCCTTCTATGTCTACCATCGACAGATAAAATGTTAAATAAAAGACATAAGTTACTATTTCAAGATATGATTTTGTCATTAACAGTTTGATTTATGCACAACTGCTCGAATCGTCGGATTCTAATCGATTATAAATAAAAATTAAATTAATAATATATGGAGATACGATACTATGAATTAGGGGGCACATGTTTTTTCATGTAAAAACATTAAAATGAAAATCATGATTGAGATCTATCGAATTGAAACTATTCGCGTAAGAATGGACTAATCATGATATAAAAAGACCTTATATATATCATGAGACTAATCATATCTGTAAATTGAAGACTGCACATTCTCTGCTCTTAATATCTGTGCTCCGTTAGAAAGAATTGAATTATATCAGCATCTCTCTGCAACTCTGTTAGCGTACCTCTTCAATTAGATACTTTAGAGAAAAAAAAAGAGAGAGAGAAAAGACTGAGTGTGTGATATGAGAGATTCAACTACCTCCTTCTCATTCTTTCTAAACCGATAATGATAACATCATAAGAATGCGTAGTCTTATTATGTCTATGAGATAAGCTAAGCGAAAAATGATATCCGCGATTCGATATATACGATTATAATTAGAGTGAAGTTAAACTCACACACATTTCTCATAATCAGGTAATTCGCTCTTGTGTACAAATTAATTTATATAATTTCGTAAGAATTTTCTTAAAACAATACGAGTAGGTTTAGGCTCTGTAGAATGTAAATCATGAAATTGCAATAATACATTATTGGCATTATTACGATTTCATGATTTTGCTTAGATATCTTTCATCGTGATTTCTTAGGCTAGTTTAATAGCGATGAAAACATATTGGTGTAATTCGCACACATATTTTGCGAATAGGCAATGGGCTTCATATAGGTACTTGCACTAATTGACAAAATACTCGGATCTGTAATACTCTCAATAATATCGTCAACATACATTTCGGCGAGATGATATCGTTCGAACGGTCGCCCGATAAAAACTCGGGGGAAAGTTGTCGTCCATTATTTCATAAATGTTGTCCGCTTTATCTCGAACGTGTACTCCTTTTTACCGCGATCGCATCGCGCACCTGCGCTGTTAACGAAATGTCGCGATATAAATGATGAAATTTATCGTTCTATATAAAAATCGTGACATGCGGATGGGGTACGGTACTTGTTCATCAGACTGAGAAACATTTATGTCTGACAATAAGAAAACTTGTACTCGCAGTATAATAACACGAATATTCATGTGGGAAAATATACATCCGTTCTGGAAAACTTTTATTTTTGATGCATTAAACTTTTTTTTATGAATAAACGGAGAATGCAAATTGTTTGAAAAATTTTATCAGAAATATTGTACAATGTTTTAGAATTGTTTGATATTTTTAGGCTAGTTCTTTTTCGACAATTAAAATATCTTTCTTTAACAATAATTTTCAAACATCCAGTGTAATATTGGAGAATTCCTTATATAAGAATAGATTTTAAATATATTGAATCTAAAAAAAAAAAAGAAATTCTACAGCATAAACTATTATTTTTACTCAAATATACTTTGGTCCACACATATACACTGTCGCTTGATTCTAATGCTTCAACAGGCGCAAAAGAGCTGATGCGCATCAACAGCATGCGCAATACGTGGGCGAAACTGATGTACAAGTCGATAATTCAAGGATTGTAAATTAAAGAAGAACTGCTGCTCTTCACGGCCGGTTTCCTCTGCTCATTGCAAGATATGATGTCGATTTGGAGATGTATGATTTTCCGTGTTTTGCAATGATAAATAATAATTAACATTCTCTAGTATTTCAGAATATGAACTGATAAGTAACAATGCCGCGGTAATTACGAAATAAATTTACTTCTAAAATACAGAAGTTTATAGAGACATCGAAATGAAACATCGAAGAAGCGTCGCGCTCGTCCGTTTCCATTTACAATGAGAAGTTACATAAAAAAAAACTTGGTGTAAGAATCTAATTTAGCGTTGTAATATAATTCACTATGATTTATTTTTGATAAAATAATTACATATCGGGAGCGCGCGAGCAACTCAACTGTCAATAAAAATAATTCGAAACTGCGCTACATGGCAAGGTGATCGTTTGGTATAACCAAAAGCAAAACGCTCGAAGCGACTATCTAAACGGGACAGGTATTGCATTCGTATGCGATGTCAGTCTCATAATTGGCAGTGAGCATTCTCGGAATACGCTACTGAGGTTCGTCTACAGTGTATTTGTTGTTCCGGTCATTCGAGTATTTTAGTGCGATTCAAATTAGGCGATAGTGAGGGTGGCGGGTACCAACAACACCCTCACACATTATATATATATATATATATATATATATATATATATATATGTATATACATGTGATTGAGAAGTTCTATTCCGCGGTACAAAACGATCGACGCGAATACCTGAACACGCGTATTGACCGGACTGTCCATTTGCCACGTATCTGGATACTCGCCAGATATATGTGCGATTCGAGCATCTAATACTGAAGTGATATTATGCAAATTTTAAGGATGTCAGATATTTTTAATTTTATTTTTTAATAATCAATTAAAAATAATTAATTAAACAAGACTTTGACTGTATGTGTTTAGAAGGGTACCACAAATCGAATATAAAAAACCATACAGAAATCAGAATATATATCACAAAATTATTAAATTTTCCCTAAATTTTTAATGTACCTTTTAGAGAAAACGGAATAATTTCAATCGAAACTCATTTCAAATAATTCCATAATATGTGCTCTGAAAATATAATAAGATCTAAAATAATAAGAAAAGATAAAGTCTCGGCCGTTTTTTGTTTTCTATGACTTACATGCAAACGTTTCGAAGTAGTATTAACGTTTAGAGATATATCGAATAGTTACAATTGACGAGTTTATCACGCAACGAGTTTATCACGAGTTTATACTTCGAGATAAAATCTGTGATCAGCGATCTACAATCAGCGTATTCTGCAAATGTATATTTTTCTAGGATAAATTCGTTATTCTTCCCATCTTTAGAAACTCCGCTCTTGCCCTATTATTAATTTAATTTCATATTCATGTTGATATTCCCTATTAACCGAAAAGTGCGTGATCATACTAGCAAATCCTGTTCTCCTAGTTTCTCTCGTACAAAAGTATGCAAACATCCGTCCCCGAGAACGAGAGCACGAAGGGAGGCGAAGAATCCCACATGGCGATGGGGTCATAGTCGCTCGTAATCCGTTTGAAAACCTGGATCGCTCGCCCCGATGTTATCCCGGACGTGGAAGTATCACAAGACCGGTGATATCCGCGCGGGCATGAAAATTCGTTTCCGCGATTCGCCTGACAAGTTCGCACGACGAATTTCCGTCCGTTGCGAGCGAGAAAGCAGAGGCTTAACTGCTACTTTCGTCGTCGTCGGAGACTCCGTTCGTCGGAAAACTCCTGCGTCATTCCCGATCTTTGCTCAGGTCGGAAGGCAAGTCGCTGCAGCCGGACATCGCCGCTACCGCCGTTGTCGTCGAAGTCGTCGTCGTGGGTGACCTGGAGGACATCCTGGAGGTCACCGGCAAGGACAATCCTGCGCTCATCGCGACGTTCAGCGGTATTGTGATGAACGGCTGGTTCGATTGCGATGAGTTCGCCACCGGTGCTACTGTACCTATAAGGAAACCGCAAGGGAAAATCAAATGAGACGCCCCAGACGCGAAGAGAAAAAAAGGTGCTACGTTTCCTGCTCGATTCTACCTTCTTTGCCGATCCGATCCGCTTTTTCCACTTTCGACCTATCTACGAACAGCATGTTTTTTGCAAAATCCGCTCGTTCTACTCGCGAATCTTCGTAGAATCGAAGTGATACAAAAAACTGATGATGCTATTTATATTCCGACAAACTTTTCTTTAGTTATACTTTAATTTTATTAGTACAGCTTTTATGTACATTAGCAATAAACTCGGAAATTGAAACCTCGATGTGCAGCATAAATAATGTAAGGTTTTATCTATTGAATCATCATTGGCTACTATATTCAATATTGATCCAATAACAGTCAATACATTAACCCGACGTTGAATTATAAATTAGATGATAAATTGGATCCAAGAGTGGCAAATAATAATAGTTAATAATCACAAATTAGAAATAATACACTAAAAAAATTTCTGGTTAAAAATGGACGAACAAAATTTCGATCATCATAATTAGACATCTGGCTATCTCAATTACAATTCTAATCGATGTAATCAGAATCTTCTGATTTGTCCATTTTCAACTAGAAATCTTTCTCGGTGTAGATGGTGCTTATATAGATGCAATATTCATTCAAGTCAGATATTTAAAAAGTACAGTCTTAAGATGTGGCAAACAACCGCAGAATCGTTAACATATTAAGACATTACTTAAGACGGTTTTAAAATAAGAACCAACTATGAATACTAGCCTTAGATTATCTTTGCGCGGAAAAATCAAATGTACATTTTTTATAAAAAAAAATATTTACTTATTTATTGTATCGCAAAATCGAAAGTACACAAAAAAGATAAAATTAATCTTTCGCAAATAAGTCGGATGCTTAACAGTATTCCATAATTCGTCATTTACCGTTGCATCCATCTCTCATGCGTTTCCTCCTCTCCTTATTATTCCTACACCGTCTCGAAGATAAACGCCGTGCGAAACGCATTATACATTAATCTTCACACGATCGGCAGCAACGAGTGACTTACGTTACGTAAACTTATTAGTCATAATCTCGCATCCGATACGCAATTGTCACCCGATATTGTCGCCGGTGATTCACGCGAGGCGGGAAATGCATGCGAGCGATTTCCGATGGTTCTTAGCCTCCGACGTGTGTAAAATTGATACCTCTGCGAATGAAATCCTCTGCCCGAGTGCCCTCGTCTCGCGTAAGGGCATTTCGTAATGCGTTAAATGCGTACCGTGCGACATTGCGTAAAACGGCCCGCGATTCGCGTTCCTCCGCAGCGCGGCGGAGGAAAGAAACCTACCTCCGTCCTGAGATATTTGCACCGGTTGCCCGTTTTGTCCTATGCCGAGCAAGACCCCTGGACTGGGCGAATAAATGACACTCTGAGGCACCTGGTACATAATCCCTGCAGAGAACGAAGGCACATTTCCTAGGAAATGAAAGAGGAATTGAGCGTGTGAGTGCCGCATGGTTGTAAGCCGCCGGGTGATATTTCTCGCGAGGAAACGCACCGAGGTATACGCAATTGCGAGCGTATACCTATGACGTTAAAGTCCCGCACACGCGGTTTGGACATATTTTAAATATTTCGTATACTATGCATGCCTCCCCTCCCCCTCGATATTCTTGAGTTACGAGATAACCCCGTTTTTCTGAACGCGAACAATCAACATCGACACGTATCCGAGAATGGCGAGATATCGAATGACGTAAAATACAGAGAGAGGCTTCGTGTATATCCCTTATTTGTATCGAAATTGTGAAATGCATCGTTCGACGTTAAAGTTAAACTTGTTTTCTCTCCCCCCCGGTACAGATGTATATCGTTGAGAAAAACTTAGGAATGACGACCGAGTCGAGACTTCAAACCGGACCACCCAAGTGCAAATCTGCGCTCTGATTCACCTATATATATCTCCTATGAATTATTACATTTCATATGCGTGCCTCTTTGTATAGCCATATACGATAAATTTTCAAGAGATATACATTGAGAGCGAAAGAAGCAAAAAGGAATAATTAAAGAAGAATTACAATCACGCACAAACTAGGAGATCATTTACCGGGAGTAACATTGGCAATCTTTTCAACTTGATGTGCTCGAATATTCGTGAAACATGATCGAAAGTTGTTAATAATGATATTTATATCGCAAATTGAAAGCAGCGTTTTTCAACATTTCTTAATTTACAACATAAATAACGAGCCAAATTTGTTAAAATATGTATGTCATTAAACGCACATGCTTCAGCGCTTAGCATAGATCTTTTATCAGATACCGTCAATACGACATTCAGAAATAAACAGTAAAGTTCTAAAGTCTTTATTTTGTCATTTTAATAGTAATTTTATTAAAACAATAATATTGTTTCGATTAAGATAAAAGTAAATATAATATAATTTAGTAATTTTCACAATTTTTAAAATATCTTTACTTCGCGCCTCACTCGCTTTTTTATGATACATGCTTGTAATTTTTTTCCCTTCTTTTTACCTTCTCTAAAATTTTCGCGGTACATCAGTATGTCGCATCGGCTGAAAAACTTTGATCTAAAGTAATAACCATTTCGAATCTATAAATAGCATCTAATTATATACTACTTCATGTTTGATACTCAACAGTTTACCAATCAAGACGCAAATAAAACTCTTGGAAAATACAAGGGTCAGTTGATGTTAATACAAACATTCCTTTTTAATCATATTCAATACTTGAAAATAAGTAACATTATTGTAAGATACTTGTTTAGCATAACATTCTGTCTTATGTACTCAATCACGAATCTATTAGTCTTTTTACAAAACTATTACATTAGTACTCAGTGCGAAAAGCGTCTGTTAGTCTTCCTTACTGAGAACCGCCTTATATAGATATACATTTACACGATAAAAAGAAAAAACTCTCACATGTGTGTTTTCCACACATTTCAACCGAACAAACGTGTCTAATTAAAGGCGGACTTGCGCGATACACATCCATTCATTAGCCCGATAACGATGAGATCTCTCGCACGCGCCTTCGTTATACCGCAAGGATAAATGATGCATTCGTCGCCTTCTCTCTCGTACAGGGACATAATAAGTCATCGGGTCGGCTATCGTCGAATTCGCGCGGACGGTACGGGACAACGGGAGCGACGGCCGCGGTCGGCCGAGTCGCGAGGAGGAAAAAAAAAAAAAGCGCGATCGCGGCGATCGGTTTAAGCAGCGCGGTAGAATGGCATCCACGCGACGCATTAGCATCGATATTTATGTGTACACCTGCATCCGCGCGCGCGCTCTTAGCGGTGCGACGCGGACGGAGCGGCTTTCGACCGGATCCTACTTCCCAGTTAGGCAGCACGGTTGCCGTCTAAGTTTGGTCATCGCCGTGCCGCGCGCGACTGCTTGCGTACTCCCTACACGGATAACCCCGTCATCGCTCGCACGCCTTTCGCATTTTAAACGTCCTCTCTCCCTCCCCCGTCCCGTCCCTCCTCCTCCTCCTCCACCACCTCCCTCCCACCTTTTCTCACGCTTCGTTCCCTCTTTCTCCGTCTCCTCCCCCTCTCGTGTCTGTCCGCACCGATGCGTGCACTGTACGCGAATGTTCACCCCGCCCGCTCGCGCTTACTTACGACGCTTACCTCCATCCGACCAGCTGTTCGTTATCAATGCGCGATGAGGTCAAGCGCGACGCGAATGGTATCGACGACAATTAGACTACGCGATTAGCATACAGACGGCGCGGAGGAGGACGGAGCTGCCTCGACACGCTGATTTTCGCAATCCGGCAATCTCGGATCGTTCTTAATCGCGATCTTGATAGTTCGACACGAAAATGATTTTTACTTTTAGCACAAAGAGGAAAGATCGGTAATAATCTATCGTTCTATATGAAAAGTTTACCCTCCGGTCAAGATACGCAGCTTACGTTTACATACATCTGGTAATTTCCAACAATTTGCAAAACGCACGTTTGCAGGAGAATTCTAAAGAAATCCATTGCGTGGGAGGCCTATCTTTCCATGTGGAACAGCGAAAGGTATCATGAATAATCGCGGCCGTGAATGACAGAAAATCGACGTAACCGCAGAACTTAATCCAAAGTGAACCTTGCGCAAACGCTAATAATCGTGCCCGTGTAGTGACGAATGATATGGTTTTACTCTGTAATAACGGTACGCGACCGATATTCAAAAGTGTTCCGTTTCTCTTATGGAGATTTGCAAATCTAATTGTGTTGACTCAAGGAAATGCACGAATTAACGAGATCAAACCAGACATACGAGTACGCTATTCTTAACCTACGTTTCCTTTCCGCATGTTATTTAATTTCCAAGGACGCGATAATTTCCTACTATTTTTGTACAAATATATCGCGATAGAAGCCGAGAATTTAAACGTTTGCAACGCTCGACTATTAGGAAAAAAAAAAGTATAATTTTTCATAACTTCAATGTAAGTTGAACGTGTACATGAAACATCCAAGAAAAATACAAAATTAAATTAGCATCATGACTTAACGAAAATTGCGCGAAAATGATTTTCTATGAGGCAGTAGTTTTGGAAGAATAAAATTTCTAAATAATATTTGTGTAAAAACAGACAAATCAAATTTTTTTTAAATATAAATATTTTATAATTATTTCCGAAAACGTTTAATGCTTTACTGAAAATTTTACGATTCTAATATTTTATAAAAAAATCAGTATTTCTAAATTTTATACACAACTTTATCGTATACTTGCATAAACATTTTCCTATCGGAGAGACCGTGAACATCCATTTATCTCCATCGAGACTTCAACTTCCTAAATCCTGAATATCTCTCTTTTGGACGAATAGATGTCTAATCCTGTTCAAATAGCTCAAAGACAATTAAAAAAAATTCTCGTTCTCGCATACGCGACGAATGCTATATATATTGTATACATATGAGCCGTATCTTAGACCTGTATTTATAGTCAGATCTTATATTCAAGACCGTCTTAAGACGCTAAGGGGCTAGTAAAGGGAACAGAAAATAAGAATTTCAACCTATCAGAAATTATGTATTGTGGAATACACAGCTTCTGATAGGTTGAAGTTTTTATTCTCTCTGTTCCCTGTTCCTTTTATTGTGCGGAGCCCCTAATACGGCTCTCTGATTGATTCGTGACACTTCAACGACAGAACTTGGACTGTCTTGAACATAAGAACTGACTATGAATACCGGCCAGAGGGCCGTATTAGCGTCTTAAGACATTACTTAAGACAGTCTTGAAATAATAGCGGACTATAAATACCGCCCCTAATATTTTAGAAAGCGTACAGTATACTCCACGCGTACCAGGGTTCATAGGGGAGGACGAGAAAAGCCAGGCTTCACGAATTCTAATCCAAGTACAGCCGTCCCGCAGCGATCCTCGCGATCCTACGGCGAGACTCACCCGAGTGATTGGTAATCTTGAGAGGATCCTTAGGGACGACGGGAGAGTCACCGTCGCTGCTCTCGCCGTCGCTCTCGTTGGCGCAGATGTCGGATCTGGGCGACGCGCCTTCCTCCTGAAACCAAGAAAGAGAAGAGTGGTGTTTATCGAGTATCCGCCTCGAACGCGATTCGTCGTCGGCGGGGCAGCAAGGCGAGGGTGGGATCGGAGCGGTTGGATAACACGGGGGTACGCGTTGCTCTCGCAAAGAGGATCATTCTCAGTCTGAACGACAACAGCGACGCGAGCAGAGAAACGTAGATACGCGCTACCGAATGATATACATACATACGTACGTACATACAACAAACGTGTGTACCTACCTATCTACCTACCTACCTACCTACCAACCTACCTACCTACCTACCTACCTACCTAGCGGACACAGAGAGAGATGCGCGAGCATCTTGTTCGCGCTCCTTATATGGCCATCTCTCGCGGACTCCACTCGCGCGAGTGCGCGCGATGCGCCCGTGGAAAAGAGGTATCCTCTTCGCGAATTCGCTCGCGATAGGGAGCCCTCGAAGCCGGGGAGAAATCTCTCGCTTCTCGCGCGAGACTTTCCCGCCCCGGCGCGTTTTCGCGACGACAACTCGTAGCGGAGTCGACAAGCGGAAGAGTATGATACGAGCACAAACCGGAGCACAGACCTTGCTATAACGCATAATAGATAAAACACTAAAGAATCGACCAATCAGAGTCTCTTGGGCTTTCTATAATAAACCATTGCATAAGCTTTAAGTCTTAAGCCGTAAGAAGTTGACCAATCGCAGTCAATTATTTTTTTCACATTCGACTGTAATTGTAGAAAGCCCATAAGAGAATCAACCAATCAGAATTTTTTATTTAATGGAAAGAAAAGACTCTGATTGGTCGATTCTCTTATACTTTTTATGCATTATGCGTTATGCAAAGTTGTGCTCCAGCTTTATCTCATGTTTTTTATTGCTTCGAGTAATATACTAAGATTTCGGCTTCCATTTGCTGGTTAAACGTTGACAACTATAATTTATTTTTGTCGCGAAAGCTGACATTGTTATAACTATAATTGACGTAAATATGAAAGAAATCCTAACGATATACTTTACCATTACAATTCCACCGTATTACGTTGAGTAATATGTGTAATAAATTTCTAAAAATATTATATAACTGATCGATTCTTCTTTTATAGCAAAAATCAAAAGAATCTCTTCGTCATAAGAAATTCAAAATTTTTAGGCTCCTTCACCTCCAGTAACATTTTCAGCCATATACATCGTTAAATACATACAGAGTTACAAAAAGTGAATTTTCCCAGTTATATTACTGTAAACTCCATTGTTAAAGATCTCTCGATTCGAGTTGAAGAAGAACACACGTTTTTTCGTCTTGCAATTCGCTCCGAATCGCCTATCCAGCGTTGTGGCTGGAATGCGTGTGCGAATCTCACATGCTCGTCGAATCGTCCGTACGCGGGAAGTCGAGAAAGTGCGGTACCACAATTGGAAAGCTCGAAAAGTCGCGGCCGCGTTCTCTCGCTTCCGTCTACGCGCCGTGCGTTTCTCACACCGCTTTTCCCCCTTTCCCCCCCCCGCCATTCACCGCCGCGAACAGAGGCAGGAGGGTGCGCGTGTATGTGTAGAGAAGGCGCGACAAAAAGCAACATTCCTGACTCTTAAACTCGGGCTCTATATAAGTGTCTGCCATCGCGAACATTGCCTGTATATGGCGACAACCGGGCTTTGACAAAGGTGACCGTATATGGAACTCCGCTTCCACCTTTCGTGC